AAAAAATTCAGGACAAAAATGGCATCAAAAAAGGTCAATGTCACAAAACTTTCTGCTTTTAATAATAGCTATAAAGAAGAACTAATAAAAACTATTAAGAGCCTAATAAAACAAACAGCAGTAGGGGAGGAAGTTAAAAATGGATGAAAGGAGGTGCCAAAGGTGCATACGGGTAGAGGCACCCTATGCTGCACCTACAAAGTTCTGTCAAGTTCGCTAAATTTGCCCATTTCAAAAAAAAAAATGAAAGATGAGGTGCACACTGAAAAACACCATGGCAGAGACTGCCCTACTTAATTCATGGGCTTAACCCAAAGTAAATATGCATTGAACGTGCTTCCCCGTTTAAAGTACAATCCTACTCTGAGTTCAATGGGTGTTACTCCCAGGTAATTTGCAGTAATACAGCACACACAGTTATGTGGCAGTAATAATTATTATTATTTTATTTGTATACCCCGCAACCACCTCCCCAAAGGGACTTGGGCCGGCTTATATGGGGACCAAGCCCAGCATACACAAAATTTACCAGCTAAAATGCAGTTTAAAGCATCATAGCATATAACATAAACAATCTAATTGAAACAATTTAGAATGGGAAAGTATAGAAACATTGTAAAAGTGTATCAAACCAACCTAAACAATCAGTAACCAGGAATATGGTGGGGATAGAGAAGGCAAGGCATTGGGCTTGTGCAAAAAGCAAACTATAGGGCTGGGGATGGAGGATAAAGTGCTGAATCCAACCTTATCAGTAAATTAGGGCTGGGCATTCATGAACAGGAACCAATCATTATTCAAATGCACACTGGAACATATAGGTTTTCAAATCCCTGCAGAAGGTGGACAGAGTGGGGGTGAAATCTCATTCTACATTAGGAATGATTTCCTGATAGCAAGAAGTATTTAACAGCAGGATATTCTGCCTCAAAATGTGGTGGCGTCTCCTTCTCTGGAGGTTTTTAAGCACAGACTGGATGGCCATCTGTCAGGAGTGCTCAGGTTGGGTGTTCCTACATGGCAAAATGGGGTTAGACTGGATAGCCTTTATGGTCTTTTTAACTCTATGGTCCCTTCCACACAGCTGAATAAAATCCCACATTTTCTGTTTTGAATTGGAATATATGGCAGTGTGGTCTCAAATAACCCAGTTCAAAGCAGATACTATGGACTTTTCTGTCTTGATATTCTAGGTTATACGCCTGTGTGGAAAGGCACTATGATTCAATATTCTGACTACACACATATAGGTACTGGATTGTTCAATAAGTTGATCCGCTAAGACTTTGAGCAGCACAGAGGATGAAGAAACAATATAGTAAGAAAAGCAAGTGTATTTCTTCAAGCTGTTTTGCCAAGTATTCATTCCCTCACATACACTTCTCAAATGGGGATAAGAATGGAAATAAATTATATTCTACAGAACTGCATCCATAGTAATATGGAGACATGAAAATATAAAGGTATGCATCAGACAGTTCTCTTTCCAGCTGTGCTGTGCAACGCTGTGCTGAAATTAATATACAGCAACAGATAGTAATTCCACACCTTTTCTAATACAGGGATGGGTTAATGCTACCTTTAAAAACAGCTCTTATCCAGAGATCTGTGTGCATATGTTGGAGGACTTTGGGGATGTGTGTTGAACACAATCCAGAAAAGAAGAGAGCTCAGCACTGCCTCTATTGGTCCATCTGGGTTACTGTACATAGAAGGGAGTGTTAAAACAGCCATACACATACACACAACACACACACTTCCACTTCCTCCAAGCTTCCCTGGCATCTTTAACTTTTGCTAGCCCCAGGCTCCCTTTATAAAAAAGGGAGGAGTGAGTAAGTTCACTGGCTGCGCTCTGCAACTCCTGGAAAGGCTTCCCTTGAACTGATGCTTCCAAGATGCCCAAGGAGAGAGGAAGGAAAAAAAAACACTCACTGCCCAATCGCACCCACTCTCAGATTAGATTAACACAACACATCATGAAACAGGAGACTCAAGCAAACATGCAGCTGCCTGGCTCGAATCTGGGGTATGCCCTGTTTCCTAGAACCACTAGGAAAGGAGAGGCTAGGGGAAGCCCTGCTCCATCACAGCCAAAGATTGCAAAATCCTTCCCTTCCATGCCAAAAGCAGAATCGTACCTTCCCCCAACCCTAAACCTGCAATATTTTCCCCCAAACTAGACGATCAAGGTCAAGGATGTGAGGCTATCATGCAGGCTTGGCTGAATCAAGGTGTGGGGAACTGCTGCAGGTGGAAGGGGAAAAAGTCAGGAAGGTGGAAACAGGAGAGAGGGACCCGGTTCTGACCAACACCCAATTGGGTGCTGTGAGTGGATGACATGACGGTGGGAGCATTTTAAGCCCTTGAAGCACCAAAGCTGGGATGCACTGCTTGTACAGACACTGAGCCTTTTGAATCGGGGAAATTTGCACACACACACAGCTGGCATTTCTACCCAGCGATGCCCAGCTAGGGAAGCAATGCGCCAAACCCAAGCTCCCAGCTGTGCAGAGGCAAGGCGAGAAAAAAAGGGCAAGAAGGGTTGGGTAATGTGCGGGTTTTGGATGATTCCCAACATTCCCAATAACATATTTTGAAAAAGAAGCCCAGGGAAGTGCCGCTCCAGAGATGCTCCTGCATTTGTCCTCCCAATCCTGAAAGCCACCAAGCAGGGAGCAGAGTGTTTCCAAAGGCTTTCATAGCCATAATCACTGGGTTGCTGGGAGTTTTCCGGGCTGTATGGACATGTTTCAGAAGCATTCTCCCAGACCACTCAACCTCTGAGGATGCTGCCATAGATGTGAGTGAAACATCGGGAGAGAACGTGTATGGAACATGGCCATACAGCCCGAAAAACTCACAGCAACCCAGGGAACACAGTGTTTGGGGGAGGGGGGCAGGAGGAGAGGAGGCTTTGAAAGAGGCAGTCCCAATACACACAGGGGCCCCTTCCACACAGCTGAATAAAACCCCACATTATCTGGTTTGAACTGGGATATATGGCAGTGTAGACTCAAGATAACCCAGGGTCCTTCCACACAGCCCTATATCCCAGAATATCAGGGCAGCAAATCCCAAAATATCTGCTTTGAACTGGGTTAGCTGAGTCTACATACAGATAATGTGGGATTTCCTGCCTTGATATTATGGGATATAGGGCTGTGTGGAAGAGCCCTGGTTTGAGACCACACTGCCATATATCCCAGGGCCCTTCCACACAGCCCTATAACCTAAAATATCAAGGCAAAAAAAATCACAACATCTGCTTTGAACTGGTATATCTGAGTCCACACTGCCACATATTCCAGTTCAATGTAGAAAATTTGGGATTTTATTCAGCTGTTTCGGGGCCCTTCCAGCCCTATATCCCTATATTCCAGTCCTACAGCCCTACATCCCAGAATATCAAGGCAGGAAATCCCACATTATCTGTGTTTGGACCCAAGATAACCCAGTTCAAAGCAGATATTGTGGAATTTTCTGCCTTTATATCCTGGAAGATAGGGCTGTGTGGAACCTGGGAAATATGTCAGTGTGGACTCAAGATAACCCAGGGCCCTTCCACACACTCCTGTATCAAGGCAGAAAATCCCACAATATCTGCTTTGAACTACTCCACACTCAAATAACGTGGGATTTCCTGCCTTGATACTCTGGGATATAGGGCTGTGTGGAAGGGCTTCCAATTCAAAGCAGGCATTGTGGGATTTTCTGCTTTGATATACTGGGATATAGGGCCCAAGCACACAAATGTAAAGGAGAAGGAGTAGGAGCCCTTCCACACAGCCCTAAATCCCAGAATTTCAAAGCAGAAAATTCCACAATATCTGCTTCGAACTGGGTTATCTGAGTCCACACTTAGATACTGTGGGCTTTTCTACCTTGATAATCTGGGATATAGGGCTGTGTGGAAAGGTCCTAAGAGGCAATCTGACACACATACACATATAGATGAAGCAGGCACAGACATCTGCCAAGAAGAGATAGGATTACACTATTACTACACACACACACACACACACACAAGAAGAGGAGGGAGGCATGGCTGCCTCTATTCCCCATTGATGGGGTTGGAGAGCAAGCCAAGGAACTGGAAGTGGGCAAACTAGAAAGGAAAGAAGGAGCGAATGAGAGAGAGAGGAAGTTATCCAGAGTGGAAGGGAAGTCACCCCTTGTCACTGTCTTGGGGCCCTTCGACACAGCCCTATATCCCAGAATATCAAGGCAGGAAATCCCACAATATCTGCTTTGAAGTGGGTTATTGGAGTCCACACTACCATATAAGCATTGAAATTTGCCCCTGTTAACCGCCTTGAGTCGCCTACTAGCTGAGAAAGTCGGTATACAAATACAGTAAATAAATTTTATATATATATTTATATATATATATATATATATATATATATTCCAATTCAAAGCAGAAAAGGTGGGATTTTCTGCCTTGATATTCTGGGTTATATGGTTGTGTGGAAGGGCCCTCAGTTGCATCCCAAATTATATCTGTAGTTACTTGTCCATTGTCATGGAAGGAAAGGGCTTGAGGAGGGATCCCTTCACCTCAAATCCCTTCCAAGTCCTCCCCAAGGAAAGAGTTTGAGGAGGGATCCCTTCTCCCCAAATCCCTTCCAAGTCCTCCCCAAGGAAAGGGCATGAGGAGGGATCCCTTCTCCCCAAATCCCTCCCAAGTCCACCCCAAGGAAAGGGCCTGAGGAGGGATCCCTTCTCCCCAAATCCCTCCCAAGTCCTCCCCAAGAAAATGCCATCAAAGCAGCTCCTTCCAGCTTGGCGCCCCTCAAACATGGAGTAGAAGAGTAGTAGTAGCAGCTGTAACCGTGCTCATAATGAATCCCCCTCTTTGGAAAAATCCCGCACACATCCGTTTCCCCGCACCATCTTTGGCGAGAGAGAGAGGCACCCACACAACTGAGAGCGACGAGTCGGAGAAACACACACCAGACCCCCCTCCCCAAGAAACCCGGAGGTGTCCCCTCACTCACCGGGGAAACACACCACGTAATGGAGCACGGAGACGGTGATTTTGAAGAAAAAGATCCAGCAACACGGTTGCAGTAGCCTCCGCATGTCCAAAGCCGAACATCGAAAAGGGCAAAAAGGGGCGGATGGGTCTTCTCTTTGTACTGATCGACAGGTCTGGAGCTACAGAGGGAAAGGCTTCCCCGGCCGGAGAGATCCCGGCACGCCAACCAAAAAGCCCAAACTTGGTGGAAAGGCGCAAAACTTGCACACTAGGCTGCCCTCTGGCCGGAAACAAAGGAGAGGAGGCCGGCTCGAGAAGGGTCTTTTGGGGGGAGAGGGTCCCTTCCAGTCCCAGGCACCCAAAACAAACCGACTTTGCTCCCCTTCCTTCCTTCGTAAAGATGCCTCTCGGAGGATATTTTGTTTCAGAGTTCAGCCCGAAAGGAGCTCGGGCAACTTCCTTGCGATCCGGAGCAGGATCCGAAGCGAGAGCGGCTCAGTGGCGGGGCTCCTCATGCGGGGAAGGCATTCTCGGAGAGGAGGCGAAAGGAAGAAGAAGAAGGCGCAAAGCCAAGCGAGGGTGCCTTCTTCCCTCTCTCTCAATCTCTCCCAATCTCTCCCAATTTCTCTCTCCCAATCTGCTGCTTCTTCTCCTTCAGCAGGAGCGGAGGGTCCTTCTTCCCGGCGCAGAGCTCACTCCATCCCGCGGCTGGAAGGCGAGGAAGCTGCCGAGGAAGCGAGCCAAGGGCGAGAGCCGGAGCCGCGGCTGGAAGCTTTCCATTCTTCCCGGCAGGAAGTCTCTCTCTCCAAGAGGCGAGCCGGGAGCCTGGCGGAGACTTTAAAGCGCGCAGAGAGAGAGAGAGAGAGGAAGGGAAAGGCGCGGGAGGGAGGGAGCGAGGGCGGACGGGCGCGCGCAAAAGGGGAAGGCCGGGAGGCGGGGGCGCGCTCACGCACACTCACTCAAAAAGGAGGGGGGGATCCAAGGGAGGGGGGCTGCCCGGCTTTGCGCGCTCCCGACGCTCTTAAAGGGGCCTCCTCGCCTTTTTTCCCCCCACTCTCCGAAGTTGAGGACGCTGCATGTTGAAACACGCTGTGTATTTTTTGGTTTTCTTCTGATTCCCCTGCACCCTGGGTAGTTTTGCAATACTGTCATTTTTTATGACACGATTTAATTGGTTTTTTTGTATCCATATTTTAATGTATTTCCATGGTTTTCATTTGCATAGTGTGAGGACACTGAGGACAGGGTTTGTTGTCTGCTGTGTCTAGTGTGACTTGGCCAAAGTTTCCATAGTGTGTATAGGCGAAGGCTTTCATGGCCGGAATCACTGGGTTGTGGTAAGTTTTTCGTGCTGTATGGCCATGTTCCAGAAGCATTCTCTCCTGACGTTCCGCATGCATGTGTGTCAGGCATCCTCAAAGGTTGTGAGGTCTGTGCAGAGGCAGCCCTAGGTAATTTTCAACTATAAGCAAACAGTATTTTGCCCCCCCCCCCAACCAATCATTGATACATATTTTCTGTTCATCCTGGGAGTTCTGTGTGCCATATTTGGTTCAGTTCCATCATTGGTGGAGTTCAGAATGCTCTTTGATTGTAGGTGAACTATACATCCCAGTAACTACAACTCGCATATGTCAAGGTCCATTTTCTCCCAAGAGCGCCTTTGGGCAAAATCAACTATACTGCAAATGCTTACTTTGCGTAATGCGTTGAGCCGCCCCTGGGTCTGTGGGAAACTAGGAAAATTGAGTTTATATATCTGTGGAGCATCCAGGGTGGAGGAAAGAACTGTTGGAGCTTCTTCAACCAGAGAAGTATTTTAAAAAAACTATAAAATTATAACAGTAAATATAGAACAAAACTCAAGCACAGGGGAACTCCAGACAAGAAACAATCAGGAACACCTAATCACCCCTCAACAAAAGAATTTCCCAGGCAGTAACAAGGCTAAGCATAAGGAAGCTGATGAAGAAACCCAACATACAAACTATCTACAGACCTGCCAAGAAAATCTAATAAATGTTATATTCAGCAAAGGACAAGAGGGATCCTCTCACTTTTGCAGGAGTCTATGCTATGCCATGCAGCTGTGGACAAGGCTACTTAGGGACCACCAAACTCAGCAAGGCCCAAACACGCATCAAGGAACATGAAAGGCACTGCAGACTACTTCAACCAGAGAAGTCAGCCATAGCAGAGCACCTGATGAACCAACCTGGACACAGCATTTTATTTGAGAACACAGAAATGCTGGACCACTCCAAAAACTACCATATCAGACTACACAGAGAAACCATTGAAATCCACAAGCATGTGGACAATTTCAACAGAAAGGAGGAAACCATGAAAATGAACAAAATCTGGCTACCGCTATTAAAAAGCTCAAAAATTACAACAGCAAGACAACAGAGAGGAAACAATCAAGGACAGCTAATCACCTCTCAACAAAAGATTCCCCCAGGCACTAACAAGCCACACCAAAAACACTGCCAGCCATCAAATGCTAATCAAGGTGGCCAACTGAAACATTCACATCTAGCCCCAACAGGCAAGAGATCTTTCTCCCACCCTGGACTTCCACAGATATATAAACCCAATTTTCCTAGTTCCAACAGACCTCACAACCTCTGAGGATGCCTGCCATAGATGCAGGTGAAACGTCAGGAGAGAATGCTTTGGGAACATGGCCATACAGCCCGAAAAACTTACAATAACCTTTCCATACTGTGTTTCCATAGCCAAGCAGGGCTTTGAAGCCTTGGTCTCTGAAGGTGCATGTACCCTAGACATGGGGAAATTTGGGCCCTCCAGGTGTTTTGAACTTCAACTCCCACAATTCCTAACAGCCTCAGGCTGAGGGGGGAAAGGAAGGGGCCTTTAGGCTGAGGCCTTAAATCAAGAAATAGTTTTCTTAGATCTACAGAGAATCTCGCTGGAACACCTCAGCAAGCAAGAGTCCAAAAGTGGCAGGCTCAAACCCAGAACCTCAGTCAATGGCTGATACCAAATGAAAAACTACCCACCCACCCACCCCCCGACACACAGAAAACTGGGCGACTTGGAAGGTGCTGATCAAACTGTCCTCTGGCACCACGAGATGCTGAGCTGACCTTAAGAAATGGGGCTACAAAGTGGAATCCATGACATGCAAGTGTGAAGAAGAGCAAACCACAGACCACCTACTACAATGCAGCCTGAGCCCTGCCACATGCACAATGGAGGACCTCCTTAAAGCAACAACAGATCAAAGGACACTGGTCAAAGGACGTTCAATAGAATGCCAAGTTTGCAAACTTTGTGTGTGTGCGTGTGTTTAAATACAATACAGCTGCTTGGTTTGCTCCTGACACGATAAATAAAATCCCAGAATATCAAAGCAGAAAATCCCACAATATCTGCTTTGAACTATGTTATCTGAGCCCACATTCAGATAATGTGGGATTTTCTGCCTTGATATTCTGGGATAAAGGGTTGTGTGGAAAGGTCACCAAAATATCAAAGCCGAAAATCCCACAATATCTGCTTTGAACTGAGTTATCTGAGTCCACACTGCCATATATTCCAATTCAAAGCAGAAAATTGGGGGTTTTATTCAGCTGTGTGGAAGGGCCCTGGCGGCTTTTCCACATAGCCCTATATCCCAGAATATCATGGCAGAAAATCCAACAACATCTGCTTTGAACTGGGTTATCTGAGTAAATATTTAAAATAAATATTTAAGATCTTTTGTTGTGTTTTTAGATTATGTGGGATTTTCTGTCTTGATATCCTGGGATATAGGGCTGTTTGGAAGGGCCCTGAGACACAAAACTATGGATTCAAATAGCAGGAAAAAAGGTTCCACCTAAACATCAGGAGGTATTTGGAGGGCTCTTCCACACAGCCCTATATCCCAGAATATCAAGGCAGAAAATCTCACAGTTCAAAGCAGATATTGTGGATTATCTACCTTGATATTCTGGGTTATGTTGGTGTGTGGAAGGGCCCTGTGTCTTTTTGTATGGCAGGGGTTGAACTTGATGGCTTTAGTGGACTTTTACAAGTTCTACAATAGCTGCCTTGAGTCCCTATATCAGGAGAAAGACAGGATAAAAAATTAATGAAATAAAATAAAAACATATCTCCCTTCCCTGCCCCCCAATTTATCTTACATTCAAAGCCCTCCCCGGACGCCAGGGCAACTGCCTATCTGCATAGGATTTCCTAAATTAATGTCTCTGCCACTACTGTTACATATTATGCACCCATGTCCAGCAAGGTGCCTCTCACACACCTGGGATTTGTAGTTTTGTCGAAGCACCAGCCTTCCTTGGCAGAGAAGCTAAAAACCTTGTAAAACTCCAACTCCAAGGAATCCATAGCATATAGCTATAGGTGTTTTGGAGAGAGAGGAAAGACAAACCTCCTCTGAATAAATCTTGCCAAGAATCCACCCCAAGGCCCTTCCACACAGCTGTATAAAGTCCACATTGAACTGGATTATATGGCAGGGTGGACCCAGGTAATCCAGTGCCCCGTCCCCTCCCAGCCCTCTCTCACAATGTGGCCCCAAGACAAAAACGTTTGCCCATGCCTGGTCTAGATCCAGGGAACTTATGCTACCCCTCTGTTCTGCCTTGATCAGACCACACCTGGAATACTGTCTCCAGTTCTGGGCACCACAATTTAAAGGAGATGTTGACAAGCTGGAATGTATCCACTTGAGGGTGGCTAAAATGATCAAGGGAGAACAAGCCCTATGAGGAGCGGCTTGTTTAGCCTGAAGAAGAGAAGGCTGAGAAGAGACATGATGTTGTTGTTTATTCGTTCAGTCATCTCCAACTCTTCGTGACCTCATGGACCAGCCCACGCCAGAGCTCCCTGTCGGCTGTCACCACCCCCAGCTCCTTCAAGGTCATTCATGATAGCCATGTATAAATATGTGAAGGGAAGTCACAGGGAGGAGAGAGCAACCTTGTTTTCTGCTGCCCTGGAGACTAGGAAGTGGAAAGATGGCTTCAAACTACAGGAAAGGAGATTCTACCTGAACATTAGGAAGAACTTCCTAACTGGGTTGTTGTGAGTTTTCCGGGCTATATGGCCATGTTACGGAAGCTTTCTCTCTGAACGTTTCACCTGTATCTATGGCAGGCATCCTCAGAGGTTGTGAGGTCTTTTGGAAACTAGGGAAATGGGGTTTAGATATCTGTGAAATGTCCATGATGGGAGAAAGAACTCTTGTCTGTTTGAGATAGGTGTGAATGTTTCACTTGGCTGCCTTGGTTAGCATTTAATGGCTTAGCAGTTTCAAGGTCTGGCTTGTTACTGCCTGGGGGAATCTTTTGTTGGGAGATGATTAACTGGCCCTGATTGTTTCTTGTCTGGAATTCCCCTGTTTTTGAATGCTGTTCTTTATTTACAGTTATGATTTTAGAACTTTTAATACTGGTTGCCAGATTTTGTTCATTTTCATTGTTTCCTCCTTTCTGTTGTATCGTCCATATGCTTGTGGATTTCAATGGTTTCTCTTTGTAGTCTGACATAGTAGTGGTTAGAGTTGTCCAGCATTTCTGTATTCTCAAATAATATGCTGTGTCCAGGTTGGTTCATCAGGTGCTCTGCTATGGCTGACTTCTCTGGTTGAAGTAGTCTGCAGTGCCTCTCATGTTTATTGATGCGTGTTTGGGCTTTGCTGTGTTTGGTCGTCCCTATGTAGACTTGTCCACAGCTGCATGGTATATGGTAGACTCCTGCAGAAGTGAGAAGATCCCTCTTGTCCTTTGCTGAATGTAGCATTTGTTGAATTTTCTTGGTGAGTCTGTAGATAGTTTGTAGGTGGTGTTTCTTCATCAGCTTCCCTATGCTGTCAATCGGCAAGAATACTTTTCCTCTGGATGAA